CATCAGAAGTGTCCCACACTGGATTTCATATAACACTGCCTTTGTTTGAAATCACCAATTTACGCACGAGCTTTTCCAATTATCTCCACGAGTAGCTCTTTGTGAAGCCCAATTCGAATAGATGACGATTTAGTGAAAACACCGGACTATTAGAACTCAGCGCTCCACCTTAACACCCACTAAAGCTCAGGGCAGCTGAAAGGTCGCAACTAACATGCCAAGATTTAAGGAGTGGGAACTTTGCGAAGACCTTCAATCGAGTCCAAGTATGTTGAGGTTCACAGAATACTCGAGCACATCTTTCACAGCAGAACAAAAGACGTGTTATCGAATCGGAATGGGCAAAGATCGTTCACAATATTTTCTTCTACATCATTCTCCCTTGTGGGATTCGTCGTTCTGTTCTCCTTGGCTTCTCGTTGAGATACACTGCAGGCACAAGCGCCCCATCTGTGCTGATATACAACAGAAATAATGTTGCCAGAAATAAAACAGTGTGGGCGGCTGAGGTTGGAGGGCCAACGACACAAATGACGCGATGGCGATATCTCTTCTATGATTTACAATGTGCTCAGCTGGAAAACTTTGTCAGGTGCACTGAGCGTGAGGTAGGATAACGGTATAAAAGTTCTACTATCCGTGCAGTTAGCACACTGCCAAATTCCCTGCTTTCACTTATCTACATAATTAATTGCAAATTTTTTAGAGAAACAATGCTTTTCGCTCTACTGTCTTCAGTGCTGCTCGTAGGAAATGTATGGGCAGCTGTGGATCAGAACTGTACAATATATGATGGCAATGACCTTAAGGTAGGTCGCTCCATTTTGTCAAAGAGCGCATTTAACAATTAGGAAATTACGGAAATCATTGCTAGCGCTCTAGAATTCTTCAATTTTTGAGGTTTCTCTATCAACGACTGAACGAACTTTTTGAGAATGCGCGTTGTAGAATATCTCAGGCATAATAATAATGCTCATAGACAAAATTTGCCAGAATGAATCAGAATGAGCTTCACATTACCATTTGTCTTCACCACCTTTCCATCATTATTTCGTGGTAAAAGCATATCGCCTCCAAATCGGGCTCGAAAAAAATACAAGAATAATAAGGTAGCTTGGACCGGATCGCATGCATTAGGTCGATATTCAGCCCTCTGTTTTATGATTATTTCATTGATTGGAGTGGTTTCCCACGTAAAGACCGATTTTTAATGAGAGGTTCTATGTTTTACTATTGCTTTGTGAAGTGAAGACATCTGCGGGCGATTTCTGTGGTTGTGACTCGAACCTCAACCTTTTCAGTTCGCCGAATCTGCAGTAAACTGTGAGGATAAATTGTCGTCTACCAATTGCGCCCTCTTATACCCAAAAGAAGCGGTCGCAGGACATGATGCAGAGCGAGATCCGAAGTGCAGCGGAGATCCGACGATAGTACGTGATTTCATTGAGTCTCGATCAACAAACAGCTGCACCCTTTCATGGTTGTGCGCTGGTTTCGACGAATTGGTATGCAGGTTCTGACATTCGAATCTTGAAATCAAGAAATTGATACCCACAAATATCCAAGAACACATTTCTAGATTCCTCACGAATCAAGACTTACAATCACAGCTTATGGTTAGTAAAAGTTTGGTTTATAGTAAACTATTTCTTGTCATTGAGTATTACCTCAATCTCCCTTCTGCCCGTTACATTACCGCCATATCACACACTGGACTGTCGTGAGATGTATCATCCTACTATATATAATCGTAGCTCGTAGCTCGCGTCACAGCAATGATAGCGCCATGGTTCTTACATATGTTATAGGGGGGGATGGGGACACAAGTGGTATGTGATTGGAACTGATAACGACTGATTATAAGAGGGGCGAAAAAGCGAGCATCGCCAATTTCGTTTTGTCACTCATATTGTACTAGAGCGTCTATACTTACAAGTGTTATGTGGATGGGACGGGGACATTGTTGGTGGGTGATTGAAAGGATAACAACTGATAAGGGCTGATAAGGCGCGTCAGAACGCAAAAGTCGTCGATTCCGTTACCTGGCTCGCATTGACACCAGAGCAACCATACTTACAAGTGTTATGTGGGGTGGGACGGGGACATTGTTGGTGGGTGATTGAAAGTGATAACAACTGATAAGGCTGATAAGCGCGTCAGAACGCAAAGTTGCGGTTCTGTTACGTAGCTTGCGCTGACACCAGAGCGTCCCTACTGACAAATTTATTTGTAGTGGTACGTGCACATTGTATCATTGTATGAGTATACATATGCCTACTTAAGTCGATTAGCAGTCGATTGCATTAAAGGACGAATTTACGATGGAAAAGCAACCCATTCCAAATTGAGGTAGAGATGGTGAGTAGTACCAGAAAGAAAGCGAAACCATGAGAAACGGCCCAGAACCGAGAAATGGGACCCCTTCCTTGCCCGTTGATTTGAGCATTGATGCGACTCTCATCGCTGTGCCCTCTTCAACACTACGCTCTCTCAGCTATCTAATCACTCGCCACGTATTGAACTACGGCGAGTGATCAGATGATCGGTGGGCGGAGATCGCCGAACTCGCCAACTTTGAGGCCATGCTAGATCGCCAGAGGTCAAATCTTTCGATGCCGATTGCGTGTCTGTCCGCACCCTCAAGAGATTCACCGCTCTCCCCACTAGGCGATTTCTCCCTTCTTCGACCTTCGTTCTTTCCGTGCAATCCTCCTTTAATCAACCAAGTCTTCAGCAAATGATAAGTTTCATTTATAAGGCCCAAACTCATTAAACCGCTAATCCTTTCGGGGTTCTAAATAATGGTGAATGTAAATAAATGATAAGCCTTAGCTCCTCACTTATGTAAATAGGCATATTTCATTTTCATTTTGAGACTGACAGCAATCCTATTCACCGCTAAATTATCTGAATTCAAGAAGAATGCTGGATGTTTACAGTTGTGAGATAAATATGCCAGTTCAGCTCCAGACGTTATCACGCGTATTCTCGATGAGACTTCAGTGAAACTGGGAAAGGTCTAACACATTCAATAGTGAGGTGGTTAATGGAGTACCTCATGCTGATATTCCATGGGTCCTCCAGTTTCGCTAAAGCCTGCCGTGTGATGCGCGCGATAGCGGGCGGAGCAAAACTGGTTTTCTAATAATTCATTGGTTAGCTTCTATACTTTCACCCATCTCACTGTCACCGCTAGAAAAGCTTCCTCAGAAGTGTGTTGGACAATGGTATTATTGGATTAGAGGGGCAAAATTACTGGCGCATCTATATGTGTTGAAGCTTTTAACATTCTCATTGCAGATATTTCCGTCCTATTTTTTCGTGATATGTTGTTTAACACATTGACGACGGTGCGCGTTTTGGCTTTTTTGGCCACGTGGGACGGGACGATCTTGCGAGCGCGGCCGCCGCACCTAGCAATCGTAAATATTATGATAACTCTGGAAAGCATCACTGGTACAAAAACATTTCAGCAGTATTCAATGCGCAGAAACGTGTAATGGTAGTGAAAAGGGAACCTTCAGTCCTTTTCTCTGTAGTGGATGCCAAAACTATTTTCGATGTGGATGTGTCAAGTGAAACATATATTTTTTCTATCCCTTTAAGTTTGTATTTACTTTCACTACCCTTTCTCACTGACATGTTCATGAGAATAGGAAGAAAACGAGGAATGAACCGAGCTGCCAATTCCGCTGTGCTTAAAAAACTTCTGCTAAACTGGAGCATATTTGATCATACCGTGACCCATGTCGTTTACAGTTATGTTATGTTGTAATCCATAGAATAGAGACAAGCAAATTGGGAAGAATCCCCGCATACGCTAGAAAAAGGGATGACAAGGGTGACTGCGCATCTCGCTGGACATTGAGACGCGCAACCGCGTCCCAATGTCCAACGAGGTGCGCAAAGTGAGACGCGGTAACGCGCTAATGTGTTAAAAGTGTTACTAGTACACGCTGATTACATAGCGGATAGAAGCCTAGCCTTCTGATTTACAGTGCAAACACGTTTTCGTCTACTTCTCAAATTTTCAAACATTGTTCAAAAAGCGTTCCAACTCGGTATTTGTTTCAAAGTGTGAGCGTTCACTTTGGAGGGTTACCAGATGAGTTCAGCGTAGAATTCACTTCAAAACGCATGTCGAAGGTAACCTAGGAAAGTGCGCCAAGCAGATTCTAACTTCATCAGTTTCGAACCAATATTTCCAGTTCTCCGGATCATGCCGAACTGGTTTCAGTTATGTGCTGCACTGCAAAAATGTTATGTATAATATACCCAAGCTTGGACCCTCCCGTGACGGCGCTTTTAAAATCCTGAGGCGAAAAATGTTAGCAAAAATCTATGCGATACGTTTGGTCTGAAAAGCTGTGTGAGTGTTGAAGGCAATCATTTCGAAGGCCGTTGTCAGGATTTGGATTGTCACCTTTTCTACTAATAATATTCATGGTCAGAACTGATTATTGAAAGTAGTCCCGGAAGCGAAGGAAAATTGGTGCACCAGTAATCTTGCCTCACCCTGTGAAAGCGTTTCACATTCAATGATTACCCTTAATAATTTTGGACCTTCCACAATAATCTATACATTCTGCTTCTACTGTAATAAAAATTCAAAGTGCTCGAGTGCAGAGAGCTTGTTGTGACGACCGTTCGAAACTGCTATCGCTGAACCTGTCGAATGGCTGACGTTTTCATTGAAAGTTCTTCAACGGTGCCTCCGGCTTGTATAACTAATATACAGATGCGAAGAAACGCCAGCTTCCTTTTTCTAGGATCCTCAGCTGGTTCAAGCGGCGGTTGATCTTTGTCCCAAGACGTGTGGCTACTGCTGTCTCACACCCGCCTTTTCATGCAATGACAAGCTGCGTGAGTTGCATCTGTCCCAGCTGACTATGAAATGCTACGTTTTTGTGCTGGTTTTTTCTATCTTTTTCTATCTTTCTTTCTTCTTTTCTATTTTTTTTGCTATCAACCATTTCCAGGCATACTGAACCTTAACACAAGAACTTTTAGAGCCAAGGATACCATGCTCGTCAGTTACGAAGATAATGTGCGAAAATAATGCCTGGAAGAGTATTCTTGAAGAGGATTGCCCGAAAACCTGCGGTTTTTGTGATTCAGGTTTGTCTCGGCTAAAGTAACAAACCTGTGCACTTATCTGAAACTCGTTCCCACAACGGTCACGGTAAGGCTTAAGAGCCTCATTCACTAATTTGCATCAAAGCATATTGGATTTTACAGCAGGGTGCGACAATATAGGCTATAAAATAAATACACTAGGCAAAGCTAGAAATTTCACGTGATGAATGGAACATTTTTTGGATCAGTGCAATGTTCCTGACACTGAAGCATTATTACCACATTCTCATCATTTGCTACTTAGACTTAGTTCACTTAGAACTTTACGAAAGGGTAGTCTCGCCGATTGTTTCTGAAGGATTCTTGCGAGCAAAGGAGTCACGCAGGAATTTCGCCACCATCGAAAGTCTCACATCAAACGATCGCCTCCACACTTCAGTCTTAGTCGAGTCAGAAATCTTGTATGAACTGCTCAGAAAACTGGAAGACCTCGTGTATCTCATATGAGCGACATCGACGCACCATCCGTCGTTCGAGGGCCGGCTTCCACCTCACTGCAGTCGACCTCCACCCGATTTCAATAGAAAATATAACTCATAATCTAGTCTTAGCGGACGCAGCGGCGAAGGCTGCAATAGTGCTGGAAAGCATTCAGCCAAAAGAAAACGAGTCATGAAACTGAAAATTGCCTTTCTTGACAGGGGTAGAACAAATATCCTTGGAAAATTTGTAAATCTGGGAGTATGGAAGAATGTTGTTCTTAAAAAAATACTCAAAGAACAAAAAAAAAAAACAACACACTGAATACTCCCTATAGGTTCACTTTCCCCATGAGTTTCCCGGAAATCTTGGAGATAGCGGTGGAGCAAGAGGACTGTGTGTTACTTTTCTAAATTTTCATTTTGTAAAGCAGTAATGACAAGTTTGCGGTAAAAGTGTGTCTCCCTTGAAAAGTCTTCAGTTCCGGTATCATAGCGGCCAGCGTTCATGCAAAACGTGGGTAAGTCAACGTTCAGTACAGTAAACCACAAAAACGTAGGTTTTGCCACGTCTTCTCACATGGGAGGCCTCTTGTGGCTGTCACCGGAACGAATAAGTTTAGTTCTGTGCCAGTTCTCGCTCAGAATTTCTCAACGGAGCGACCATATCGAAGTAAAGTTAACATGTTGACGACGGGCCGACGCGCATGCGCGTCAGAACCATGTCACTCATTTTTATGTGCTTGCGCTCCTTCTTCTCGAGTTTTTTGTATTCATTCTATAGATAATACATTAGCATAACTATAAACCACATGGCAGCCAGAGTGGTCAAATATCCCTTGATTTAGCAAAGATTTTCTGAACGCACAAAACTTTCATTTCAATTCTTTCCTAGTATTCCTTTCACTGTCGTAAACATTTATAAAAGATTGTAGAAGCAGTTAATACAAAACTCTGTGAGTTTCAAGATATTTGTATTTGATGGAAAAACTAAGGTATAAATGCTTTTTACTTCATTCGTAGCGAAAGCGATGTTTTTTTGCTTCTTCGTGATCATTATGGCTTCTTCTAAACAAACTTCTACTGGTATTTGTGTAAGTAACCTGTATAAACTTCCATCCTTGCCGGGATGATTGTGTGAGATTCAAATTTTTGGGCATCAAACAGAAAATAAGAGTAAGGAAGGTGAGGACGGCGCAACGCAAAATCTCTCCTGTCCCACGCTGCGAAAAATGCCAAAATACTTGATGTCGCCAACGTGTTAAGGTATAGTAGCTCAACATAACAAATAGTAGCAACTTTAAGATGGAAAGCCTGAGCTCCCTACGTCAGCCACTGTCTTAGCTGAAAGCGAACTATTTCGCTAGGGTATTAGGCTCATGCTTGAGAATGCTCCAGAAATCAACTGCGTTTCTGCTGCATTCGCATTCGACTGAAATCGATATAAGTGCTTATGTGTACGCTGTGGTGTTTCATAGGCAAGGAAAGGTACTATGCTTTGCCTTATAACGGTCTTACACGGCACGGCTTAAACACAAAATAATCAGGAGCAGCGCCTAAAATGAGCACAGACCCCCTCCCCCTCGACCTCATGTAAATCAAAACCTGTGGAATTTGGGAGGTAACAGCTACACATTTTGTTAGTTTGAGGACGTTTAGAGTCAGAAACGCTCCCAAGATTCTCGCTTTCAAGAACGCGTCTGTGTGCCAGGATGGACACTCCTGTATCTTCGAGTGCTAGTCTCGACATCCCCGCTGATGCTGTGAGTACCGAGTGACGTCTAGATTTTAGATCCTCGCAGGCCGTTCATAGATCAGCTCCAGAGTGAATTTTGTATGAAAGAGCGTGCGATAAATGAGGGTGAAGGTGCAGAGGGGGCTGAAAGGAGAAAAAGCAGGCGAGACCTTAGCTAGCACTGAAACTGAGGGCCTATACATTCTTTGAGGTAGGGTGTAGCACAACGAAGCGAACAACGAAGAAAGGAAGGCGAACGTATAAAGGGTCGTATGAGAGGGCACAGATAAGGAGTGGCCGCCTGCAAACAACTCTCGCCATGCACAATCTTCGGAGCGTTGGCAATACCCTTGCGTCTTTCACGCTATGTCAATGACGTCATATGACGCATCGATGACGCTCAGACAGCTTTGCCTTCCCTACCCAAAGGTTAGAAGTGGTTTTATTTCAAGTTTGCATTCGAGTGCTGTTTCCAGAGCGGTCACCAAGAGAACCACAAATTTTCCTTATGGATTTTCCTTTAGTCTTGCAATTGTTGCAAGAGTTTGAATTTATTAATTTGACATATTTGTTAATACAATTTTGAAGTCTTTTTTACATACAATTTTTTAATTTACCATATTTTCCCTCAGACAATCATCTACCCTGTCGGGAAGACAGTGGAACGCTCAAAGCGGTTCAAAAACGCAGCTTGTCAACATGCCCGCAAAGCGCTATTGACCATACATGTTTGAGTTGCCTCACTCCCTTCTCTTGAAATGTAACAGTAAGAGGAAGGTTACTTCGATGAATGATCTTCTGTCGAAATCTCCGCATCGTCTGTAATACTCACCGCCTTTTGGTGTTGGTGCTGGTTATCCATTTTATTCCGCAGTGGTTCGAACTATATCGAACAATTTACAGTGTGTGTTAACGGAGGCCCTGCTCACTGTTCTGGTCATATTGTTAGTAATATTTCTGGATTTAAAAACATATTCATCTTCGTATTGGTGCTAGTTGCAATGGACCACCCATGAATTGACAGAAAGTGAGGCAGTCTACGGTTGCAGAAAAGCTTTGTGAAACATTAAGTAAAGGGCATTGCAACATTGTAACGTCAACAATCCTCAACGCGACAGTCGCATCATCGGGGAATATACAGGGGTGGCCAAAAAAAGAGACACTTCACTCCACATTTCAGACAGCATTAATCACACTTTGCTAGAATCAAATCGACTGACCCAACTCAGTATTAAAGAGCACATTCTAATCTATCTAAAGTTACATGACAGCCTTCTACACCGACGACATCAGAAGATTTTCCCACGGAAACATGGTTCACGGTACGAGCTCAACGAGGTCGTCGAGGTACCATAGACCATTACGACGTCCCTGAAACGCTGGTCAAAAGCGGTCTTGCACAGTCACAGCTAGTGTCTCAGAAGCTATTCACCATTAATCATTGAAGAAATTATGTAGCAGCTTCAGGCCGGAGCGATTACGGTAAGCCTCGTTGAGCTCGACGGTGACGGCAGATGACGTCATATTCTGAAGACGGTGGGGCAGTGAAGGAGGGCCTGCTTCTGCTTACGGGGGAACACCTAAGGAATATTCCGCCGTAAAACTTTCATTAACATCGGCCCTGTGCGACGAAAAGTTCGATGATGTGCGCCATGGGCAAAGTGTCTCTTTTTTTTGGCCACCCCTGTAT